CCTACGACTTGGTGGAGGCTTATCATTTCTCTAAGAACTATAACGTTCCCGGTTGTTTTTTTCTTCATAAAAAACATTTTTTTTCTAAGAAAAGTATACAGAAAACTTCTGAAGATAGAAACACATATATGAGTCCAACCATATAAAAGATTGATATCACTCTCTACCTAAAACCTTAAAACAATGGATTAATAAGTTTTTCATCTTTATATAATGTTCTATTTTCTAATTTCTATCCAATGTGGAACTTAGACTCACATATGGATTTCCAACACCTTCAGCATCTGGACAGTACATCCCTTTCATACAAGTCTTGTTTTATTTTCTCAAAAACATCTTCAAGTATGAGATTATTTATGTTATTAATGAATTTAACTATTTTTTATTAATTTTATGTATAATGAAATCAATCACACTAATGCAATACACTCAAACCAATTAGTTTATATAATCAGTCGATGCAATAGCTTATTTAGTCCATAAATCTATAAGATGTAGGAATCATTTCTTTAATATTATAGCCCAAGGATAAAATGATCCCTAATGGTGTGCTTCTGGTAATCTCTTAAACTTGTTCGTTTTGGGTCAAGCCATTTGCTTTTGGTACCACTCCAAAAGGCTTCTTACCAATGAAGGTAACTATGTGTATATAAACTCATATGTTCTACTTTCTATCCAATGTGGAACTTAGACTCACATATGGATTTCCAACACCTTAGCATCTGGGCAGTACATACCTTTCATACAAGTCTTGTTTTATTTTCTCAAAAACATCTTCAAGTATGAGATTATTTATGTTATTAATGAATTTAACTATTTTTTATTAATTTTATGTATAATGAAATCAATCACACTAATGCAATACACTCAAACCAATTAGTTTATATAATCAGTCGATCCAAAAAGGCTTCATACCAATGAAGGTAACTATGTGTATATAAACTCATGTCCAACTATTCTTTTATCCGATGTGGGACTTTGTTTGTACCCCAACATTCTCCCTCAAACAAAGGACTATGATTCTTCTTCCTTCTCTATTGCGGAAGTCTTTTTAATTCTCGAGTACACCATGGGCACACCATGGTCAACACTGAGCATCTCTTGCTCTCCACCTCTCATGATTCATCTAGCGATGTGCCATTGGCCACCTGCCTAGCTTACCTGATCATGAAGGGACGTACTCGTTTAAGCCTGGTCACCAGACCCGACACACATATATATTACTTTATTACTTGTCAGTGTGGGATTCTGCAACATTTTTTTTAACAAGTTTGTACCCTATTCTAATATATTATAATTTCACTATATCATTATTTTATATGGGGTGTGCAACACACTACTCGCATTAAGAACATACATGGTGGAAATTCAGAGAGATGATATTATGATATAAAAAGTTAAACAAATCTTGAGAGTATACCTTTGAGTACAAAAGTGATTATTATTCTTTTATTATTTCATAATCTTTTTGATACCACCTCCACACCAATGTGAACCTCCTCCTTCATTCACATTTACCACCTGTTTCGATTAATCTCCTAAACCCATGTATGCTTCTTTTCCATTTCAACTTCAATAATACTTACCTTATGATTATCTTTAATCACACGCCAACACACTGAGAAATTTGAAAGTGCATACTAGATATGAAAGGATAATTTTGCAACTTCAATCACTTTCTCACATTTTCTTCTCATCCATGTGAGGATGTATATTTCATACTCATCCTTAAATATGTGCTCATAAATAAATGCAATTCCCTTGAAACAAACTATTCTTTTCCTCACTTTTCTTTCTTTATGTACATGACAATTGTAAAAGCAAACTAAAGCTAAGTTAGTCCATTTGATTCTTAAATTTACTTATATATATATATATATATATATATATATATATATAATACAATTCTATACAATTTTTTTGAAACAAATGACTGCTTCTATCACTGTTCTTTACATGACAATTGTAGAAACAAACTAAAACTAAGTTTAGTGTAAATTTGTTTCTTTAAATCACTTAATAATATATATATATATATATATATATATATATATATATATATTAATTTTATTTTATCGCTCGTTAATGTGGGATTCTGCAATATTTCTCTTCACGATGTTTGTACCTTGTTCTAATATATTATAATTTTACTATATCATTATTTTATGTGGGGTGTGCAATACACCACTCACATTAAAGACATACATGGTGAGAATAGAGAGAAAACAAATTGTGATATAAAAAAATTGTGATATAATTTTTATGATCTGTCAATATGAGATTCTGCAACATCTTTCTTGACAAGGTTTGTATCCTACACTGTGAAAATAGAAGAGACACAATAATATAATATAAAAGACCAAACAAATATTTATAAGTTTTGACACTATATTATGAAAATGATAGTAGGATATCCTCTTATATATTATAATTTAACCAAATTTCTTGTTAAATTTTAATACACACCTTATATTAAAAATTTAACATCTTAAAAAACAAATGAGATTAAATACCAAAAGACACAATAAATCCAACAAATCTCGTAAAACATACATTTAATAAACTTTTATATGGTCTTATAAATATTCTTTTAAGTGTAACTTAATCTAAAAAAACTAATATATCACATAAAAATTTGAATCTCACTTATGTATTATAATTTGATCATATTTTTAAATGATAACAATCTCCAAAATTCAATAAAGAAATATAATATAATATTAAAAATAACATATAAATACAATTTTGCAGAATCTCTAAATTTTTATAATTTATTAAGAAATCAATTTAAAAAAATAATTTATTGAGGACTCAATAAAAATGATTACATAAAACTTATTTAAGCACTTATGTCACATGTCATGCTTTGCTATCTCGGAGGAAATTTACAATATTGATGCTAAAAATACAGTTTTGCATAGCAGACTACATCTATAAAATACAAACTTTACGAGTTTACATTGAAGAAGGAACTGTGCGAGTTCACGTAGCCATTTATGCCTATATGTTGTTTTTAGCATTTGAATTTGGTTTTGATAGCATCTTTTGCACACAATATAATGTCAGGATGTGGTTTTGAATATCTTGAAGTTCCACATTGAATATATCAGTTTTCAAATTTTCTTTTCCTTTATATAAAGCTTTATTCTAAACAAAAATAGATTTATTTAAGTGAATCCAACTGCAAGTGAAGACTGGCATGTCAAATTCAAGGTAAGTTTTTCAACTTCTTTTCTTTTATAATAATGTAAGTTTTTTTTTACTTGTAAGTTATTTGTTTTTATTTTACATGGTGCTTAGATTTAGATACTTTTTATCAATTAGTATGCTTAGATATTGCTTTTATGAGAGAACATAATTGATTGCCAACAAAACCAGTGATTCACATGTCACTAACAACTAATTCTATTAGATAAGAGATAAAAAATATTATATCTACAGATATTAAATTAATATTTATTAATAATGATTATTTATTACAAAAATAAATAAAGTATTCTGATATCTGATGTGTGAATATTCGCAAATATTTACTGCTCTTTCATAGTTATATTTTTAAATAATAATTTTCTTGAATAAAATTTGCTAGTAAGTTTTATTTTAGTATTTTTTAGAAAAAGTACTCATAAAAACATTATAATTATTAAAAAATGATTTAAAATTTAATTTTATGTACTTTTATTGTTTATTTTGCTATAAAATTTAAGCTATTTTAAAAAGATATATTTTTTTGTTAAAATTTATACTTACTGCAACTCATTTAAATTAATATTACATTAATATTAATATTAATATTTTAGTGAATAATTTGATTTGAATTATATTTATTTTAAAATTTTTATTTAAAATTAAAAAATTAAGTATAAAAATATTAGCGGATATTAAATACCGTATATACTTTTTCACATAAACGGGATGAACAGCGAAATAAATTTTTTTAGGTGAATCGGATACGCACTGTATCCAACCCACTCAAACAGTTGTCATCATTGACTTGTTACACCAATATACTATCATGCATCTTCGAAATATACATTACATAAATAAAATATTTAAGATTAAAATTATATTACTAAACTTATAATAGGTTTAATTTTAATATCACCAATCCTCATTTAATACCAGTCATTTTAGTTTTATTGCAAAGAAAACAATTGGAGAGAACTTTTCTTAAATCAATAGTAATTAATAACTAAAATATTTGCAATTTATGTCAAAATATTCTTTACTTTATCTTCTATTTAATAAACAGTATGTAGGATTAAATAGGATGAATAAAATTAGATAGTAGATGTAAATATTTGTGTATGCTGGCATCTAGAAATAAAAAATTTGCAATACATATTGGAGTTGGTATTCGTATATAATTATTATTTACGAGCAGTGAATAGTAAATAAATGATATTTTAATACTAATTTATAAATAAATAGATACAAGTATTATACTTTGAATATTTGTTAATATTAATTAATATTTTATTAAAATTAAAATTAATTTATATTTTATTAAATTAAATTAAATTTTAATTTATATTTAATTTAATTTATATTTTATTATATATATTTTTTTTTTAATTTTATATATTTTTTATTTTAAAAATTTATAAAACATCTTTCTAAATATTTATAGGTATAGTATACTCGCATATATTAAAATACATATAAATATTTTTTAAACAAATATCTAATCAGTAACAAAAAAAGATTATAAATTTTTTATTGTAGATTTAATAAATAGTAAACATTATTCAAATGATGAAGAGTTTCTTTATATATTAAAAAGTTAGATTGATTAGTGAGTTGAATTAAGTACTTTGTGAACACTTAAGATAATAGGTTAATAAAATTTAGAAAATATGTAAAATGGTCCAAAATATTACAAAGAAAATTTAATTAAGTAAAAGATATAAAAATTGAAATAAATTATATAATTAAATATCGACCATGCCCCATAATTCTCTGGAAGTTTCCGAAAAGTAGGAGAAAAAAATAATTAGAGTAGATTACAAGGGCCCGTTTCTTCTAATAGTATAAAACGGTCAGAATTTTCCACTTTGTTCTATTCTCACTTTTTCACTTCCCGCTTTTATCTCTATGGCTGGGAGTGAGTGAGTGTGATTACCGTACTATATACAGTGAGGTTAACTGTTTATCTCTTTTCGACTCGTTCCAATGGCGTAGCGGTTGATGTGCAAGTGAGTTTCCTCACCGATCTGGCGGTTCCTTAGTGTTTTAGGTCAAACAAAACGATTTCCTATGCACCTATATTTACTCTTTATTTTGTTCACTCCTTTCCTCTGTTAGGGTTTAGGTTATGTTTTTTGTCAGCTTTGCAAATTTCATTGTTGTCTAAAGTTTACATTATTAGTGTTTGTTATCATCTTATCGTTATGATGTCTATCTAAAACTTTTTTTTTTCATATTTTGTGCAAGGATGTTTTTCTTTATAGCTTAGGGAAACACGTTTATCCTTTTCCTTTCTTTTTCTAAGGTTTAATTTTATAGCGCCATCTGAACAACAGCAAAGAAGAACATAAGGAGAAAAAAATAAAATAAGTTTATCTAAGGTAACTCAAATTAGTTTAAGTACAAGGTGACGTTGGAATATCTGTCATTTAGGTTCTTCAGAAGCTAATTGTGGGTAATTTATAAAGGTTATGTAGGAAGAAGAATAAGTAAACTGATTTTGGATAAAATCATTTATTTGTGAGCTAGTCTGTGGAATTTCTCATACAAAAAAAGTTGATCTTAAGTTAGTTATGAGTTGGGATAGGAGATACTTGCCTACAAATTTGAACAAATTATTATATGCTTGGTCTCATTTTTATTGTTTTTGATATTGATATAAAAAACTAGTTTTAGATTACAAAGTAACTTATTTGTTGTTTTTTAATTCTCTTCTATTATAAATATTTTTAGAGAAGTTTTTATATAAATATGTTTCATGTCCAAAAGACTATACATTGCATAGGAGTTGATGTCAAAAAAGTATGTCCAAAGATATCATTACTGAATGAAACCGACTATTAAGATTTGTTTAACTTAATTATTTGGACTATCACATAAGCAATCGTGTCTTCAATAAGAAACCTTGGTGCTTGGTAAAGCTATCTCCATGAGTGAAGTTTCTTCTAGAAAGTGTTTCTCTGTTTCAAGAAACACTCCAAGCATCTTGAAGTGATGAAAAAAAATCAATGAGCGTATACTGTTAGCTAATGTGTTTGTGTGTGTCTATATATATTTAAGGATGAGTGCAAGTTCATCTCAAAGAGGAAGGTTCGAGCCTGTGTCCCCTAACCTAAAACTAGGTACTCCTACAAAACTTAGTGTAAGTTGTACAAATACTATAATTGTCATAATTTTAAAACTCTCCTTCAAGTTGAAGTATATAAATTGTGTGCACCAAGCTTTGAACATCGAATTTGAGGTCTTCTCAAAGACTTGGAGAGAATGTTGGCATGTTGGTCATTAAAGCTAGTAAGTCCAATACATATTTCCCAAACGAGCAACTTTTTTTTGATTGTTGGAAAGTTTCACATCGACTAGTGAGAAGGCCAATTTAGATTATATAAGTAAGTGTAAATCTCACCTTAGAAACCTATTTTATGGGGTTGAGTTAGGTTTAAAGTTCACTTCTTAACACTGATAAAATGACAAATTTGTGCTTGGTACTTTTATGAAGGGTTGGAAGCAATATGAAAGGCCGCCTGATTATTACAACACAATTTAATTTTCTCAACTTTACAAAATTTCAACACTTGGAGTTGTTTGGTTTGCACTAGTTCACAATTAGTTAGGACCATATATCTATATTTAGCTTTTATTTTGGATCAAAGAACAATATTTTTGTTTATTGCTCCTTGAGGAGACAATATTTCGCCCATTGAATAGACAATATCTTGTAGATCTTTTATTAATTGGACAACTCAAACTACATCATAATGCCCTATAATTTGAGTATTTTGTTTGTCCTCATACATCTTGTCCTAGAGCATTTAGAAATGTCAGGTCTTGTAATAATGAGATAAAAGAGTTTTTCAACCAACCTTTTATATATTTTTGGATCTGAATAGAGTTTCACCTTGGTCAACCATCAACTTTTGATGTGGATTCGTGAAATTGATTCACTTTGATACCAAGCATTTTAGAAAACCAAACTCTTTAATTTAAAAATGGCTAAATAAATGCACCTTTAGCTACGATCATGAACGTAGATCATTAGATACCCACATTTCCTACGAGAAGTTGACAATACCAAACTGAATGATTTGCCTCACTTTTGTTTCATCCAAAAACCTGCATAATATGATTGAATTTACCAAACCGAGCTTGGGATGAATTCTTTTGACCATAAAGAGAGTGGTGTGATTTACACACTAGAATAGACTCCCCCCTAAGTGATAAACCCATGAGGTTGCTCTATGTAAATTTCCTCCTCAAGATCACTATGAAGAAAAACATTTTTAAGGTCAAGTCAGTGAAGTGGCCAATGTTGAGTAGCAAATTGCAAGAAAAAACCAAATGGTGTAAATTTTAGCAATGAGAGAAAGTTTTACCGGAGTCAAGTCCATAAATTTGTGTATATCCTTTGGTCACAATTGATCTTTAAGAGGATCAACTTCACCACTTGACTTGTTCAAACTTTAGCAACATAGACCCATCTACAACTGACAATCTTCTTTCCAGACGGAAGAAGAACAAGCTTCCATCTGCCACTGCTTGCAAGAGCCTACATTTTGTCAATCATGACATGTTACCAGAATGATCAAGTGTCTCAAATAATTTTGGGAACAATAGTGGCAGACAAAGAAAACAAATAAAAAAATAGGTTGGAGACAAACAATGATAACTCGAAAAATTATAAATAGGATATGAATTACGAGTAGATGGAATACCTTTCCTAAGAGCAATAGGTCAATTTGAAGAGGAGTTATGTGAAAGAGTTGATGAAAAAAGATCCATGAAGGAGAAGGATCTAAATCATGAGAGACTTCTCGAAGAGGTAGGAGGGAGCTCTTTTTGTAAAAACTTATCGAAGAGTGGGAGTAACTCTTTCTGTTCTGTGTTAGTATGTAAGTAAAGGTGGCCAATTGACATATATTATCTTCTAATAGTTTGAGAATAACATTTGTATCCTATTGAAGATAAGAATATCCTATAAAACAAGATTTAATAGCCTTTGTGGAGAGTTTTTCTAAACTTGGAGATACATTATGAACAAAACAAGTACAACCAAATACCTTAGGAGAAACATGAAATAAGGGATCATTTGGAAAAATGGTGGAGTGAGGAATTCGATTTTTAAGAGAGGAAGAAGACATTCTATTTATTAAAAAACATGTAGTTCTCATCTCCCAAATTTTGTAGATGAACATTTTTGTTTAACATTAGAGAGAGTGTGCAGTTTCAATGAGATGTCTATTCTTCCTCTCAACAATGCCATTTTGTAGCTGTGTGTGAGAGGACAAGTAGACTCATGTCAAATAACTTATGCGGATAAGAAGGAAGTAAGTTTAACAGAAAAATATTCTTTAGCATTGTCACTGCAGGAGAATTTAATTACTTTTCCAAATAGGTTCTTAATTTCATTAAAGGACATAAATATGGACAAAAGCTTAAATGTCTTTCATTAAATAAACCCTAGTACAATGAGAAAATTCATCAATTAAGGTTACAAAATATCTAAAGTAAAAAATGTGACAAGCCTTGGTCCCTGAATATTTGAATGAATGGTATAGAAAGCTTAGTTACATTTGTTTTCACTTAGTTTTGAAAATGATGACCATACATGTTTTCTTAGGCGATGTGATTCATATTCTAATGCTTGAAGTTTTGTAAGACTTGGAACTATCATCTTCAACATGGCTAGAGTTGGGTAACCCAAACGATTATGCAAAAGCTGTGGGGTTGAGGTAGCAAAATAGGGTGTAACAGTCATAATTTCAACAGCTCTTATTAAGTTAACCCAACACGATGTTAATGGTGCGGAACTTTGCCTAATTGGTAGTATTTGAGGTGAAATGAAAATTTATTCTTCCTGGATTTACTGGTTTAGACATCATATATTTTTTTACCTGTTCCTGAGATAGATAGTTACTTAAACATATTATTAAGTTAAACGTGTCTTTATTTACTTATGCAAGTTAAGTATGAAGTTCTTATTAAATGGTTCATTTGCAGTTTGGCTTGCGCTTTGTCAGGTTAAAATGTTGCACACTGACTGGGTGGTGAATTTCTGAATCGGCAGGAGTTCTTTCCCTCTCTGTGTTGTCAGGAGATTCAGAGAACTGCAGTGTATTGGGTTTTGATTTCAACTAACTGATGGAGTGCAACAAGGATGAAGCTGTGAGGGCTAAGCAGATTGCTGAAAATAAGATGCAAGCTGGTGACTATGAAGGGGGGCTGAAATTTGCTTCAAAAGCCCAAAGGCTGTTTCCTGATATTCAAAACATTGTTCAGATCCTTGCAGTTTGTGAGGTCCACTGTGCTGCTCAGAAGAAACACTCTGGGTCTGACGTGGACTGGTATGGAATTCTCCAGACTCAACAATCTGCCGATGAAGCAACCATTAAGAAACAGTATAGAAAGCTTGCACTGCTACTTCATCCTGATAAAAATAAATCTGCTGGTGCAGAGGCTGCTTTCAAGTTGGTTGGTGAAGCTAACAGAGTGTTAAGCGATCCATCGAAGCGTACTCTGTATGACTCAAAATTTGGAGTTTCAGTGGGAAATACAGAAGCTAAGGTCGCCCCTTGTCACCCAAATGGAAATGCAAGGAATTATCAGAACATTTTTAATTCACAGCCCCAGGCTTGGAATTCATATCATCAGTTTGAAAGTTCGACATTTTGGACATGTTGTTGTCATTGTAATATTAGATATCAATACTACAAAACTATTTTAAATCAGACCATACGCTGTCAACACTGTTCTAAATCCTTTACAGCTCATGCTATGGGGAACCACAATGTGGCACCAACATATTGGCCACCTTTCAATAATCACCAAGGGTCTGCAAAACATGCATCGTCTAAAGAAGCATCAAAAGGCAATGGTGGAAAATCTCGTGGTAGAGAAGAAGAGGGTGTGTCCATGTCAAAATGTGGTGCAGGAGTTGGTGCCTATTCTAAAGTTGCAAATGGCAGAAATGGCCATGTGGCTGCAGGAGTGACAAAGGCTGATGTTAAAGTGTCCAAAGCCAAGGAATCGCAAGCCTCAACGAAAGTTGGTTGTAAAAGAGCAAGGCAGTCAGCATCATATGACAATAACAAAGCTGGAGATGGTAAAGGCATGAAAGACACCAAGGATCAAGAAAATACGGTTGATCCTTCTGGGAAAACTTCAAGGAAAAAACAGCATGTTCTGTACCCAAAAACTGATAAAGCTGGTGATTTTGGAAGTTCATCCAAAAGTACACAAAATCATGAATCATCTACCACCCCTAGAGTAGAGAAAAAAGAAGTGTCAGCAACTGGTGATGGTGATCAGAATGGGGAGACAAGAAATAAAGCAGGTGCACTACATGAAGAAACAATTTTAAGGAATAGAGCCAAAGTTGAGCAGACTAATGTGCAAGGAAAGGAGGTATTGAACTCAGATTTCAATGATAGAAAGTCTAAAGCTGTCTATTGTTCTCCATCGAAGTCAAATTTATCTCCCAATTCAGAGATTGTCTGTCCTGATACAGATTTCAGTGATTTTGAGAGAGATAAGGCAGAGGATTGTTTTGCTGTTAATCAATTATGGGCTATTTTTGACAATAATGATGGTATGCCACGATTCTATGCTCTTGTGAAGAAAGTCTACTCCCCTTTCACGTTGCGGATTACTTGGCTAGAAGCTGACTCAGATGACCAAGGTGAGATTGACTGGCATAAAGCCGGTTTGCCTATTGCTTGTGGTAAGTTCAGACTTGGTCATTCTCAGATTACTTCAGATCGTTTTATGTTCTCTCATCAGATGCATTGCATAAAAGGAAGTAGGACTACATATCTGATATACCCAAAGAAGGGAGAAACTTGGGCAATTTTCAGACACTGGGATCTTGGATGGAGTTCAAATCCAGAAAAGCATTTTGAGTATGAATTTGAATATGTGGAAGTTCTATCAGATTTTGACGAAAATTTAGGCATTGAAGTTGCTTATCTTGGGAAACTGACAGGGTTTGTTAGTCTCTTTCAACATTCTGCATTGGATGGTATTAGCTTATTTTGTGTATCACCTCGTGAGATGTACAAGTTCTCTCATCGGATTCCTTCTTACAAGATGACAGGCGCTGAAAGGAAAGGTGTTCCAAGTGGATCTTTTGAACTTGATCCTGCTGGTCTGCCTACTTGTCTTTTTGAAGTTGGTGATACTGGTGTTGCGAAAGTGGATGGAGTCAATTGTTCCCACCAGGAGTATGCAAACTCTAAAGTTGAACAGGCAACTTCTAATGATAGTATTCACAATTCAAAGTTGCAAGAGAGTATTGACACCGAAAGAACAGCACAAATTCTCAGAAGGTCTCCAAGGTCGAGCCAAAAAAGTATGGACAATGGCCAAGCAAGCACTGTTCAATTCACGGTCAGAAAGGATGACATAAACATTGACCACAGGGACTACAGTCCCCCAGAAGGAAGCGCTGCTTCGTCCCATACTAATGAGAGGAAGGTCAAGAAACCTCAGAAACACAAGAAAAATAGTTATGATGGAGAGACATTGAATAAGTTGCATAAAGATCTAAGCAAGAAAAATGTTCTAGGAGATGCATCTGAAAGGACATGTAAGTTGACTGTTAATCATTCAAAAAACAGCAATAATGTGAAGAGTAGCAACACTCCTCAGTTTGGAGAATCATGTTACGACTTTAAGAAGGAAAAATCTGAAAAGACGTTTCAGTGTGGACAGATATGGGCAATATATTGTGATAGGGATTATATGCCCAATACTTACGCTCAAATTAAGAAGATTGAATTCACTCCTAATTTTAGATTGCAGGTTTCCATGCTTGAACCGTGCTCACCGTCAGGTGACCTTAAAAGAACAATATCTTGTGGCACCTTCGAAGTTAAAAAAGGCAAATTACAGATTCTCTCTCCCTCTGCATTCTCTCATCAGTTAAAAGTTGAACCTTTGGTAAATAATAGATATGAAATTTACCCTAGAAAAGGTGAGGTTTGGGCTCTTTACGGGGACCAGAACTATGAGCTGACTTCTTCAAAGCAGGGCAAAGGTAAATGTGATATAGTAGAAGTATTAGCAGATAGTGACAAGACTATACAGGTTGTTGTTCTGACGCCACATAGCAACTCCAAGACAATTTTCAGAGCTCCTAGAATTCAGAGATCTAAAACTGGTGTAATTGAAATATTAAGAGAAGAGGTTGGCAGATTTTCACATCAGATTCCTGCTTTTCAGCACTGGGACAATGTGATTCTCAGAGGGTGTTGGGAGCTTGATCCTTCTTCAGTTCCTGGTTCTTTCGTACCAATAAACTGAAGTATTTCTATACCCTCTTGTCCACTTTGTTCGTGGTAGTGAATCTATGTTTTGTTATATATTATTTAACCAGCTATACTGTGTAGCAGCCATGTATTGAATTGTGTTGAAGGGATCCTCGTTTCATGTCTTTGATGAGTTACATTAGTTAAAGCAGCTGTTAACGCATTCTGGCTATATTTTTGTTTTCATCTGTGTGCGCAGGATGGGTAATCTTGGGTTGGAACTCGACATTCCTTAACTGTGTCTCCTATCCCGTTTGTTATGATGTCTTGTGTTCACCTCATTTTAACATCATTACAGGATGAAACAGGATCTATGCTGGCAATACACTTTGATCCTGGTGGACTGTATCAGTATATAATTCTACCTTTTTCTATGTTATTACCCTTGATGTTTGGCGATTGGGGTTCTGAGCAGCTATTTACCAGTATAAGCGATACTGTCAACCTTCTTTGGTAATTCGGCCCAAGGTAATATATGTCAGGTTAGTTAAATCTGCAATATCTTGTAAAGTTTGGATTGCACCAACTATGTTCACTGTGTTTCCCAACCATTGACCAAGGGGACTTTTGGCACCGGACAAAAAGTTTCATATTTAAAAATCATAATTTATACTAAGCACTTTCTCATTGACACGCTATTGATATTTTTTTTCACTTACCGGGAGTCTGACATGAATTAATTGAACACTACCAGCTAGAAGAATATAAGTATTTTGGTAAACAGATTTTTCAAGAGATAGAACTGAGCTTATTCTTGTGGAAATGGGGTTATGAACTAATCACACAAGTGAACATGATATTATATTCAATTGAAAATATATTTTTTTCTGAAGACAATAAATTATGATTTTATTTATTTATTTATTCCATCGTACTCACTGTTATTGATCACATATGATGTTAATTGTTGGATTCTCTTAACTAACTGGGTTTCTTTTATCACATAAATCAATAGCATTGTTGAACTTTTCTATTACCAAACTCATACTTGAATTATAAACTGATTCAGTTATGTTATCTTCGAGTTCTAAATTCAGACAATGATTTAGGTAATTTGGATGAACGAGAATAAAAAGTGAAGAGATTCTATATTTGCAGTTTGTGTGGTTTGTGCCTTTTTCTTCATTTTATACATAATATGGAGCAAATAACATGCAAAAGATTCATTTTGTAAATTGGGATTTTGGATGACGAATGGATAAGAATATTAATATACTAGTGACAACAATTTATATATCTGATATCGCGTTTAATTCATGTTTGCTAACTAATATGTTTGCTCGATTTAATTCATATTTAATTAGACTATTCTTTTTACCTGATAATTAATTATTTTGTCTTGCTTTAAAATAAAAAATAAATAAATTGGTTAAAATTTAAGTTATATTAACAAATTAATTATAATTTTAAATATAACATTTTAACATATAAATAATAATATGTTAATAAAATAATTTATTTTTTAATAATTATAACTCTAATATAATATTTTATAACATAAATTTTATAATTATTTAATTGGAGTTCATTTATGTAATTAATTCAACAGGTTCAAAATTATCCAATTCAATTTAGATTACAAATTTTTAGTTTAATCTAACTTTTTATTTTGTTTTAGGTTTTTCAAATTAATTCATGGGAATCATTGAGAAGGCAAACATTTCTCAAAATCATGAACAGTTCAAGGCCAAGTCTAGAGATTCATGCAAGGGGCCTCTTCCTGCACCCTCAAATTTGTTCATATCCATAAATCATCCTAACTGTTTTTAGGTTCTGATTGTGATTAGGGTTTAAAATCCTATTTGAAACTCTTCAGCATGCCATAACACCTCATTGCCTCTTGTCCCTTCACTTTAAAATCCTTTTGCACTCATAAAAATTAGATTTCGAAATTTGGTAAATAAAAAAACTCTAAAATTTAAGAAGATTTTGAAATGTATTAACAAAAACAATTCAAATGTATTTGAATTTTAAAATCGGATGGAAAAAAAATCAGAATCAGATTTTAAAATTTAGTTTCTCAACCAAATTTTGAAATCTGGTTTCTAAAAATTCAAAGAATATTTTAAAGTCTAGGAAAATACATAAAGAATTTCAAAATCTTGGAAATTCAAATTATATTTTAAAATATAATTTCTGAAAATCAACAAACAAATGTCAAAATACAAAAAAAAATCATATCTAAATTTTGAAATAAAAAAATCCAATAATAATCAGAACAGGATTCCAAAATCTAGAAAAATCAAAAAATGAATATAGAAATTTCAAAACTAAGTTTTAAAATCTGGAAAAATCTATAACAAGATTTCAAATTATGAGACTAGAACCTGATTTTAAAATCAGAAAATTCAGAACCAAATTTGGAAATATAAAAAAATCCATAACTAGATTTCAAAATTTGAGAAATCTAAAACCGGAATACAAAATTTGGTCTCTAAAAATCCAGAACTAGATCTTCCTCAAGAAAATTCAGAATTTGTTTTCAAAATCGAGAAAATCCGTAAATAAATATAGAAATTTAAGAATCCATAACGGGATTTCAAATGGAAAAATTTAAAATTGAATTTCATAATTAGATTTTGAAATCCAATTTTTTGAAAATGCAGAATCAAATTTTGAAATTTTGAAAAATCTAAAACTAAATTTTGAAATTCGAAAAAATTCATAACCAAATTTTGAATACGAAAAATTTATAATTGGATTTCAAAATTCAAAAAATTTCAAATCCGTGAAATATATATATATATATATATATATATATATATATATATAATGTGTAGGGTTATAATGAGCATCAGTGAGATTTGGCACTGTAAAAGAAAACCTGGAATGCAAGAAGAAACTCCAGGATTCAATTATATGATGGCCCAACGGGTAAACGATCACACTGGAAGGCGGTGATCATAGACAACCTGTTTCTTTTTTTTTTTACCTATCTTTTGTCTTCCTACACCCTATTAACTTGATAAAATTACACTTTTACCCTCCTTTTCTCCATCATCTCCATCTTCACCACTCTCCTGATACTCCACCTTAATCTCCATTTATTTTATATCTTTATTTTATTTTTCATTTCCACACACGACCTTTCTATCTTCACTTTACATTATCTCCGTCTTCTTCCTTCTTCAATCTTCTCATCATCATTTTTTTTAACACGTCCTTTACCACCCACAAATACTATCATGTTTTTCATTTCCATTCTTTGTAACAAATAGTGTCGGAGAATAAAATTATCAGAGCATTCGAGAACAAGATAGAGAAAAATAAGATTCTTCCAACACCTTTTTTTCTTAATATATTCTATATGGGTGATTTGGAAGGTATTTCCAACTTTCAGAAGATATTTTCAGATTTCGAAATGTGTGTGCAGAAGATATTTTAGGATTCAAAAGTACTTTCCAAATCACTCATTTATAAAAATAAAAATTTTATAAAAAGAGAGTATTATGAAGATATTTTCGAATTTAAGAAGATATATTTGAATTTGGAATGGATATTTTAGAAGATATTTCATAATTTAGAGAAACATTTTGGAACATCAATTTTGAAATATATTTGTAATTTTCAAAATGAGTATTCTGGAAAGATAATTTTAGATCCACAAGTATTTTCTTAAATATTTATTCTATAATTCGGAAATACGGTTCGAAACATCAATTTCATAATAGATTTTTTATTTTCTGGGATGAGTGTTTCGAAAAGTATTTTTAGATTTAGAAATATCTTAAAGAAAAACTCATCAATCCAAAAATATTTTCGAAAATATGAAAATGCTTTTGAAACACCTATACCGAAAATATGTTTGAAATATGCAAATATATTCTAAAACACAATATCAAATATGAAATTACCTTTTGAAAATTATGAAATTACCTTTTGAAAAATATGAAATACAGATTTCGAAATATGAAATACATATAATCCATAAATTCAATAGTATTTTGATTCCAAGTTTATACATTATTAGAAATGTTTTATTGTCTCTAATACACGATTTATAGGATCGAATGTTCTATTATCAGTTCTAAAAATTGAATGTTGTCTTATCGATTCATGGTGAGTGTTACTGTTTCAATTTCAAGTTCACCAAATAATATCATTAGGATCAATCACCACACATATGAAAGTATTGTTCACTTTAGAGTTTTGTTAGTCACAGTTTTGTCCTTCAAAGGCATTACTATTTTGATCTTAAGTTCGTTGAGTGATACTGTGATATGATCATAGATGAAGAAAAAAAATGAAGAGTTTTTAGAATGGCAATAAGCATAAAAAGAAGGAAGAATAAACAAGTCTATTCTCTTTTTAGTTGTTTGTATTGCAAGTTAGTTCATGTATAATTTTAGTGTTGGTCTTTAGACTAGTTAGGTCGCTTATATACCTTAAGAAGTTATAGAATTAAGAAAGGTGAAACTTAAAACAACTTTAAGAGTGGCAGTCCAGACTTGAAGGCATCCAGTCCCACATCCTTTAGTTTTCGCCATCTACTTCATCTCTTAGTACTATATAAGCAATCTAAGGTCTCCTTTATACATACACAATTTGAACACCTTCAAATTTGAATACAAAGAGTGTTTTGCATTCAATTGCATTGCTTCTTTGAGATAAGATTTTGTTTCTTAGTCTAATTTTGGGTCTTATATCTTGCGAAAACAAGTGGTGATCCTCTTTATCTGTTTATAAGTATGAAACTCCATCATGATTTTATCCTTAAAAGACCAAAGGATGGAGGAAGAAATAAGTATTTAAATTGCACTTGACCTCAACTTCTAAGCCTTAAGGGATCCAATGTTGCATTATCAGTTCTAGAGACTGTATGTACCTAGTGAACCTTCTTCTTAATAGATCCAACAATGGTATGGTTTGTTTTGGTAACTAGTTCAGAGGAATATAATGGTCTCTACATTAAAAATCGTCTTAACAAAAGATTCCAGATAAGTGTGATCCGTTAAAATGAATAAAAATGTATTTTTCTCGTTCAGAGATATATGGTAGCAAATATTTTTTCAGATTTGATAACACATTTAGGATTTATGGTTTTTGCACCAAAGTAGGCAAATATGCCTTCAATATTACCAAAATGGGCAAATTTTGACCCAAAGTGAAGTCGTGGGGGGCCAAAACGACTTCAAATGAAGAAGTCGTGCCTCCCAGCACGACTTCACACTG